GCTGGAGTTGAAGGCAGCTGTGAGCACCTGACTTGGATGGATGCTGGAAATAGAACTCGGGTCCTCACAAGAGCATCATGTGTTCATGACTACTGACACACATCTCCAGTCCTGGTGTTTTTGTTGAATAATTCATGTCTTCTTGGAATAGCATTATTTAGCCAAGCAAGATATCTCCTGGGATTGCTAATCTTGGTTGTTGACTTGACTACATGTAATATAAACTAAAACCCAAGCAGCTGGGCACACGTAGGAGAGATTTTCTTGACTGAAATATTTGAGGTGGGAAGACCCATCCTAAATTTGGGCCACACCTCCTGGTGGCAGGCCACATAAAAGGACATGGAAGAAGGAAGATTTTGTTGGTTTTTTTTGTTTTTGTTTTTTTACCTACTTGCCCTCACTCTCACTGGCAAGTTCACCTATCCTGTTGCTGAAGCATTCCTTCCCTGGTATTAGAACCTACATTTTTTTTTTTTGAGAATCCACTGTAGATTGAAAACCAGCAGCTTGGCTCTCTAGGAATCCTCCCAGACCTCAGCACTATAGCAACTGCTGAGACGTCCGATCTTGTGAACTGAACAGCTACTGGATGCTTGGTCTTTCTCTCATGAGATAGTCATTGTTGCACTACCTAGATCACAGTCTGTAATCCATTCTAATAAATCCCATAATATATCTGTCTCCACTTTTTTTGCAGCCCTGCCACTCCCCCTCTTTACTTTCAGATTGCTTCTGCTCTACTAAACGTCCTTACCTTAAGAAATCCCTCTGGTGGCCACTTTCTAGTTTCCTGGCTTCTATGCATACTTCATTTTAAATCCGCAGATCTAAAGATCCAAAGATCAGTATTGAGGCCACCCAGTGCCAACTTGTGAGCAGCATAACTGAGTCAGTTCCAGTTCTGTACGGGAGGGCTCAACCTCTGACCTCACCAGCCAGTGCTCTGTTCAGGTTAGAGAGACAGGGAAGTGTTATGTGGTTGGTGGCGTACAGCCTCTAAACTGGGAAGCAAGTAAATGTTCTGTATTAGGGTTTGAGATGGCAGAGTTTTGTGTCATACATCTGACCCCCAACTGCCCTTGTTTTTGAGACAAGTCTCTCTATGTGGCCCTACTTGCCCTGGAACTCTCTGCATAGATCAGGCTGGCCTCAAATTCACAGAGATCCACCTGCCTCTGCCTCCTGAGTGCTGGGATTAAAGCCGTGTGCCACCTTCTACTTTTTTCTGTTACCCAATTGATCTGAATAAAATTTTTGGTGCTATATAAAAAGAGAGTAGGAGAGTGGACAACCTTGCCTTGTTCCTAATCCTAGAGGAAATAGTTTCAGCTTTTCTTCATTCTTATGGTATTGGTTTGTGGGCGCCATGGGCCCTGGCCCCCGACTGGGAGTGGCTGCGGCCTTGCTTGCTTGACCTTGATCAGATGTCCTCCCTATTCGGATTCCCTGCCGGTATCCACCCTTCTGAATGCTTGAGGGAGGTTCCTTGTTGTGTATCCTGTATTTTGGGCGTTAACTACTTAGATGCTAGAATGAAGAACATTGAGTCTGGAATGTAGACCATTGACAGCGAACTTCTGCCCTCCGGGGGTTCCTCCATTTGTGCTGTAAGCCTGTACGTATTTAAGGTTTCTTCCCTCTTTCAATAAACGGCATTCGACATCCAAACGTACGAATGACTCGCTGTCTCTTGTCTCTATTTTTTAATCCGCAGCCCTTCGCTCGGACATGGTGAACGGGTATTGGTAATGCGGGCATTACCGCAACATTGGTTATGGCTTTGTCACATAAAGCATTTATTGTGTTGTGGCATAACATCTCTATATCTAACTCATTAAGGGTCTGTATTGTAGCTGAAAGTTTCCATGTGTCCCACCTGGTCCACAGCTGCTCAGACCCAAATAAACACACAGAGGCTTATATTAATTACAAACTATATGGTCATTAGCTCAGGCTTATTACTGACTAGCTCTTACACTTAAATTAACCTGTAATTCTTACTTATGTTTAGGCACGGGGCTTGGTACCTTTTCTCAGTTCTGCCTTGTCATCTTGTTTCCTCTGTGTCTGGCTGGCGTCTCCTTACTCAGCCTTCCTCTTCCCCAAATTCTCCTTGTCTGTTTGTCCCACCTACACTTCCTGTCTGACTACTGGCCAATCAGCATTTTATTTATCAACCAATCAGAGTAACACATTCACAGCATACAGAACGGCATCCCATAGCACTGTATTATGAAGGCAAGTTAAATTTTATTGAATATTTATTGAAGGTTTTCAAATTTTATTGAACGTTCGGAAAATATTGGGTTAATTGTGTGATCTTTATCTTTCATTTTGGTAGATATATTGCCTTTACTGATTTCCATATGCCAAACCATCTTTACTTCCTTGAAGTGAAACCAGTTTGATCATGGCCGATGGTATTTTTAATGTACTATACAGTTCTACTTCCAAGTATTTGGTTAGTACTTTACTCAGAAACATGGGTGTATAAATTTCCTTCCACATGTCCTTGATTGTTTTTGGTTTCAGAGTAGTGCTGGTCTCATGGATGAAAGTGGCTTCCTTCTCTAAATTCATTGAGAGAGTTTGCACCTCTGCCACTTCCATTAGATGTTCAAGTCTATGTGTCACAGGCAATGAAATGTGTGTCCCTTCCCTTCTATTTGACATACCTGTTATCTCTTCCCTCCCTTATATCCTTTTGTTCCATTACAGCCAGGTATACACATATAGAATATAATATCATCTCTCCTTGTCTCCATTGAATAGGTTGAGTTTTTCCCTGGCATTGAATGTCAGTTATCAAGCACACCCTGGGAAGACTAGAGACTTTATTTGAATAATCCTCTGGTATTATTCAAATGTGCTAAATAAGATCCAATTTTAATGACAAAATCCTGTGACCTATTAAAGACCTCTATTCCCATGCTTCAGTCCCTCTTTTTCAGTCATACTCTCAAGCCCTAATGAGAGGCCATTTGGTACCTTGCTCATCCTGATTTTAAAAATATGCTTAAGCCTATTCTCTTCCAGCACATGCTTTATCCTCTTATCCAAAAGAATAAATAAAAGAACAGGAAGTCAAATCAGAGTGTTTCCTGTGGAGAATAAAAATCACAAGGTAGTTGCCCTGCTCCAAAATAAAAGAAGAATGGAGTTCAGTTGGGGGGATACTCTGGAATTTTATCTTTCTAAGGAAGGAAACAGTTATCAGGTTTTGGAGGGCAAAAAGTAAGAAATAGAAGATGAATTGAAGTGACTTCCAGTTCTCCACAGAGACCACGTGACATCGAAGCAGCAGAGAAAGGATGCCTAGCCCCTTTCGGTTCACGTTTGTTTCCAAGATTATAAGAAGTGGGGGTGAAAAGAAAAGAGTCCCCCATGAATGTGACAGATGACAAGATAGCCAATCAGAGTGCCAATAAGTGTGCATGTATAGTTTAAAAATAAGTGACTATCACAAATTCTTAAAGTCGAAAAAAAAGTCACCCATGGTTTTAGTTTCAGGCCCCACTTCCCACTCTGGGTGCATTCTGGTGCTTCTGAAACTGACTATTCATAAAGAGAAATAGCACTGCTCAAAAGGAAACTCGTGTTCCCAGCTCTGAAAGTACAGTGAACACTATTAAGAAAAATGGGATTGTATGGATTTCTTCTGTGCTCTTAAAAATGCTTCTCAAAGTGAAGCCATCAAATGCATTTTGTGACCTGAGACATTTCCAAGAATAGTTCGACAAAATGAATGTGCAGATTTGGTCATTTGTCAGGCATGCTCACGTAGAGCGATTAAAAGGAACAGCTGCCGCCCACAGAATAGCTACTACCTACAAGCTCTTATGGTCTTTCTGTTTCTCTCAGCAATGTAAGAATAGATGGGATTCTTACATTTTCAGATAAAGAACTGAGTATCAGAAAGCTTGAGCCCCCTTTGTACCATGTCACATGATAGCAGCTTGACCACTCAGGTATCTCTGAGGTTGTGGTAATCATCTCAAAATATAAAATAATTGATCACAAAGGAAGATAAAAGACATTGTCTCATAAAGCGACACATTTACCTCTCTGAATGTAGACACATTTGGTTTGACAAAGTGGCCATTGGCTCTTCTTGCTACATGTGAGTTGGACTGCATCATAACTGCTGTATGCAGCTCAGACCTCTTGAAAGTCATGGCTGTCTAAAGATTGAGAATCCTACTCATTAACTTAATCTTTCAAAAGAAAATTTAGAATGGGACCTTGGGGGAAGGGGAACTTAAGAGAAGATGGATACTAACTTGCAGGAGCTGAGACTTAAAGTTAACTTATTTTTCTGAAGGTAAAGAACATTTATTTAAACTTATAGATAGGGCAGAAATTGCCAAGTTCATTCTTGGGGCAACATTTTTCTTTCTTTTTGCCTCTTGCCTCCTGCATAGGTTACACTCATCTCCTCAGAGCCTTGGGTGATATTTCAATCTTTCCTGAATAATAAGTTGAAATAAAGTTATTGGAAATGTGAACAGGCAGCATCTAATAGGAAAACTTACTCTACTGGTATTCTCAGGGGATAGTTTGTATGTTCTTCCTTACACCTGCCAAGGAATGTTTACTTTATGGGGAATGCTTTTGAGGTCCTAGATGATTGTCATTCTGGAAGGAACCATTAGGGAACTACTGTTCGTGAACATTTTCGTTAGCACATTCTTCTTGGGAGATAGTATTCTGTAGTCTGCAGTCTGATTATTCTCCAGTCTCAGTCTCCTGGCATGTGGCCACTGTAAACTGGAATTCCTCTGTTTTCTCAACCTCGGTGAAAGTTGATGGGTTTAATTGTTATTGCTTTTCTTAAAGCATAGCCAAAACCCATTGGCATTTGACACAAGCTGTCTGTCCTGCCACATGCTTCCAGAGCAGTGATCTCATGAAAATTCTTCTAACCTGTGTTGGATTCTTAGTTTAGTGCTCTTGTGTTCTAAGGGATGACATCACAACTGCCTTTGCAAAGCGAGAATGAGAAACTAGACAAAGGGGGTGCCAGGGACATAAGCAGTCACTGGGTGCAAACTTACTAGACTCATAAAGGATGATCAGAAAGTGTAGAGGTCTGTGAATTATTTCAGTTACTTGAATGGTGCAGAAACTGAACATGTTTTAGACAAAGAGGATGGATGCAGTCATTGAAGCCCATGTGGCACCTAGTTCATAACACTGATGATGCCTTTCCTGGCCTCTTCCTCTGCAAGGGGCTGAGAGTAATGGGCTCCGTAATTGTCACAACATAGTAAGTCCCATTGTTACTCTCCCACTCCCTCCTCACAGGGCCAACTAGAGTCCATGCTCATTGGCACTTTTCTGAACTAGTATGCATTTGGGGTGCTGCTCATTGTCATTTTTTGCACAGTAGAAGCTTAACTATTGACACACCCATGTCATACCTTTAGTGCGGGATTCTTTGATATGGTTTAACCCAGAGGATCCAAAACCAATTTCTTAAATCTGGCAATGCGAGTCTCAGTTTGTTTTTCTATTGTATCTTCTGTGATTCACCTTAGTTCCCTATTAAGAGTCACTATACCACCCATATCCCAGGGACTACTATCTTTCCTTTATTTCTTTTTCAAAACTACATGTGTTCAACATGGGCTAACATTGTACTATACAATATCAGACTATTGTAAGACTGTTCATTAGGGAATTGTGACCTTCATTCCTGGGTGAGGAGCATGTCTAGATGGGAACCAGTGCAGAATTTCTTTTGGGCATCTCCAGTCAGGGGCTCCTCTTGTTCGGATTGTATGGCCACAGAGTGGGGCAGAACTTTGTCCCTCACTCAGAGGCTAGAGATAAACTAGACCTCTGTGAATTCCTCCTTCACTACCACATACTGAGCCAGGATTTATACAAGATTGTTTTGTTCTCCCTTCTGTAATACCTGAATATGTTTGTGTTCTCAGCTGCGTTGTTAAGATGAACATAAACGTTTCTATTGGGAATGAGATTTTGAATTCTATTAATGTGTCACTCTGGATCTCCGGTGTTGCACTGAGTCTGAAGGCAATGTTTGTTTGAGGCTGTGGAAAGGTGTGACCTCCAGTACTGGTTATCAGCTGCTGCAATGCTTAGAAACTAGACACCACCAGGGTGTGAAACCACTGGGACGTGATATCTTGGATGTTGTACAGCAGTATATCTCATTGCTAGGTTTTTACTTTTTATTAGGAAAAATAGGATATCACAAGTAGAAGAAAATATCAGTAAACACATCAGGTCATACTGTTTAGTTTATAGAAATAATAAAAAGGCTTTTTACACAAAGGGATAAGCTTATACTCATGACTAATTTTCACTTTTATAACCATCATGCATCAAAAACCGACTCCTTCTTACCTCATTGTTTTAACTTTAGCCTGAAAATACAATAGAATCATGGAAAGTTATATAAACACCTTAGTTAGGTCTCACATAATCTTTTACCCCATTTCTCCTAATTGTAATATCATGATATAATATTACTCAGAATGTTATAAAGGCCAAGAAATTGACATTGAAATTCACTTACTGTATGCAGATGCCACGAGTTTTACATGCGCTAATATGTATGTGTATTGTCTGTTGTGTTTTATGCAGTTTTATAATGTGTGGATTCATGTACCTACCACCACAGTGAAGACAGAGATCTACTGTAAACCTGGCATGAGGATGCTGCCTGTCATCCCAGTACTTGCCAGGTTTAAGGTCAGTCTGGGCTACATAGTAGTGAGATTCTGTTTCAAAAACAAGCGAACAAAACACAAAGCAAGAAAGCAAACAGTTAAGAACCCCACAGAGAATGATCTCATCATAAGACCCTTGTCACAGTAATCTTTATAGTCACATTCCCTTCCTTCCCCTCTCACCCTCGGCAATCACTAAACTGTTCTCAATATCTCTCATTTTCTTGTTTCAAGACTACTATATAAAAGTGATAATATAGCCGGGCGTTGGTGGCGCACGCCTTTAATCCCAGCACTCGGGAGGCAGAGCCAGGTGGATCTCTGTGAGTTC